GACCCTCACCTCGATTGAGGAGTCCAAACTCGCTGTGAAAAACACCCACCAAGTGGGAGTAGCCGGCGCCGGTGCGAGCGCTGATAGCCACCTGGAAGGCCTTCCCCCACACGGCCGGGCCCCCGGGCTTCATCTGGAACGTCACCAGCTCGTAGACACCTGAGCGGAACACCTACGCATGAGGTCCTGCTTTGGGTAGCACATATTCTTAATAAAAACTCAGAACAACATTTAGTCGTGGTTACCAGCAGGGAACAAGACACAATAATAAAAAAATACAGTTCTTAAGCTAAACTGTATTCATATTTCAGGTAGACAACTGCCTTAAGCAAGACCACCTCTCTGATTGGCCAATCTCAATCTAGGAATTTAACCTCCCAATTTTGTCTGATTCACTGCAAACAGAGTGAAAGCATGTTTAAGCACATAAAAAGAATGTGAAATGTACTTCGAAACGGAACAGGAAGAGCATGACCGCACACAGGCCACAACATTAATCTGAGATCAGCTCAGCCAAAATCCCACACTGGGAGAAATAATTGCTTGTTCTCGCCCCTATAATTAAAAACATACCAAATCTTCTTGCAACAGTCCGGATACCTTTCTTTGCAGGCTTTTGGATTTCACTCCACGGCACCAGGTAGGCAGCCTCAACTTCCTGGGACACCAGCATGGGCAAGACCTTTGAAATGAACTGTTCCTGCCACTGGGGGTCTGTGGCCACAGCGGCTCGCACCCGTGTCCGGTGGCCATAGCTGTCTGTGAAACACACACCATAGACGCAGGAGGAGTGGCAAAGACGTTTCATTTTAATTCGCGTTCGCGCGGTGCATGGCCGCAGAGCATGCAGATCTGCATGCAGATCAAACGCTGGTTTTGAATCGAAAGGACCCTTCCTTCGATTCAGCTATCTTCCCATCACTTATGCAGCATGGGGGTCGCAGGGAAAACGGAAGCCCTTTCCAGGTGACATCAGGCAGAACAAGGCAGAGAAGCACCATAAGCAGGATGCCAGTCCATCTCAGGGCCTACACACTCGAATAATCACATATCATGACTGTGTGTCATGGTGTAAAAAATACAAGTCGTTCCTTTCTTACCCAAGTACAGTATCCCTATTTTCACCCAAACTGGATCAGCCTAATATCCCTTATGGAACTCCAATGCAAAGTGTGAGGGGGGGGTGGAGATATAAAGTAGACATTACTGCGGAGCGATGACAGAGAAAACCAGCTGTGTAATCCACCCAAAACAGTGCAGGTCAGTTTGGTGGTACCAGGGCCCTCTCACCCCAGCAGGGATCAAATATTCTTTTTTTTCTAGCAACTAATTAAGTTAGATTTTATATGGCAGAGGCTTAAGACAAGAAATCATGCATCCACCCCATCATCCTTTCAAGCTGCAGCGTCAAAGCCATCTCTCCTCTCACCATACTTCCAGATGTGGAAGACCTGGTTGAAGGCACCGTAGTCTCCAGTCCAGAAGCCCACAAGTTCAGAATGAGCTGTGCGCAGGTGAATCTTCTCATTTAACAGTTTGAGGAAGGTGGTGTTATGCTCAGGCTTGATGCAGTATGAGCGGATCTCATAGTAAGTGCCATGCTGTTGCTGGGGCCCGGTGGAGATGGAAGCCCGCAGCTAGAGGGATCGAACAGGACAGATGCTGACATCGAGTGGTTATGTTGCGATACTACACACATGTGACCGAATATGCAGAATTTTATATATAACCATCCGTATTATTTCAAGAGTCGTATGCTTATTACAAACTGTTGTGGTGCATTACCGACAACAACCAAGACACAATGCAACACTTCAGATAATCAGCTTTGCACGTTACATGCTATATTATATCCAGGAAAATTACACGTTACAGACATCTTTCATTAAATGTCTGCTCACATTACGTTCCGTACGTACTGACGGTGATTATTATTGCCAAACACAACAGCGATGTAATTATCTTGTGCACGACGCCCATTTTCGCAGAAAACTTTCTTTAATAACTTAGTCACTTGTTTGCCAGAACTACGATTCGCCTGTTGTTGTTACATCGCTGGATTTCGACTCCTGAACGCAGATCTACTAAGTTTCTTATTAGTCATTTCTTGACGATTAATGGCGTGCAAGTACACAAAACCGACATATCTTGACATCATTCAAGCGTCAAATACGCAGTCACACAATAAACAATAAAAACTGTACTGTAGCACAATGTAAGCACAATGGGTGCAGTTCAGCTTGTTATTCATGTTGTAACATTTTTGGCTTTGTTCCTTAAATTTCTTTCACAAATATTTTTGAAACAAATCATTCGAACACGACTTACTTCCTTAGCATGTTTTAAGACTTTGGCATTTTTTGCATGAGTTACAGTTCTCCGAAACGCGTTCCATATTGGCAACATTTCGCTCTCGCAAGTCACGTCGTAGAAACTATTTCCGCAAAGTACGGAAGCCGGGGCGTCTCAAATTTTTTTGCAAGGTGACTTTAGTGAGCGTAGGTAATTTTAGCTCCATTGATTTAAGCATGGAGGTACGCGGTGGCACAGTGGCTAACATGGCTAACTAACACCGCATTTTCTCACGTATAGGGTTCCTCCGACAGAGATGAAGTTAGGCTAATTGGCAGATCTAATTTGCAAATTGTTTATTGCATGTGTCTTCCCTGTAATGGACTGGCATCTATTAGACTGGCATCCATTAGATCGTACCCCAGCCTATTACCCTATGCTGGCTGGCATTGGCTCCCACCCAGCTATGATGAATTTTTATGAATTTTTGTTTACTTGTGCCCTTCAAAATAATAATTTGGACAAGCATGTAGTGCACATTGTACTTTCTACAATGTTGTGATAATTTCAGACCAAGGAAATCCTCTCCCCTAACACCTCATATTCATCCTAGAAACTGAAATGGGTGATTAAGAAGTTAAGATAAGACCTATCCAAGCCACAGCAAAGATGCAATCCATTCACATCCACGTGGAAATACTGTTTCACATATTCCATCAGTGTCCCTAGAGCAGCTAGGATTATAGGCCCAGCACTGATACGATGACTGCCAGCCATAGGATTTCAATCCACAACCTCCCAGACATAAGCAATGGTTCCTAACCCACACAGTCCTCCATTATCAGGTATCATGCAACCTTGGAACATGCATGCTTCAATGCAGCAACAGTGCAATAGCTGAGCTTTGGCCTGGGTGAATCACCTTTGTGATAATATCATCTCCTGGGTGAACCACCTTTGTGATAATGGTATCTCCTGGGTGAACCACCTTTGTGATAATGGTATCTCCCATGCCAGATAGATGGTGTCATACCATGTGACAAAAAGGCAATATACCAAAGTAAAAGAAAAATGCCAAATGAGGACACGTGGACTCAAGGTAAACTCTAACGCACCACCAGGTAAATTCTAATGCACCTTTACTTTTTCAGGTACAGTACTGTGCAAAAGTCTTAGGCAGTCAAAGGAAATTCAGAGCTATTTATCTAGGTAAATATATATTTGCTTAGAACCTAAAGCAATATAACATCAGAACATATGTATATTAAGAGTAACACAATAAAAACTAACAGTATTTTTTTCTTTTCTCTAAAAAGGTACTGATATCTTGTTGGATGGGTAGATGAATACCATTTCAATTCCCAAATCTCTCCTCAGGGGCACACCAGGTGTTCCATGCGTTTGTTAAATTTTATCACGAACTCGCTCGATGAATTAAGTTAAATAGTTCAAAAAAGTCACTGAGGCATTTGTTAGCCATACAAGGAGTGCTAGTGGTCAAATGAAGAAATACATGGGTGTTTTGGGCCGTTGCTGCAAACATTGGAGTGATTTTAGGAGGGGTTTTGAAATTGAGCACATTTTGACAGACGTAACAGCGGAGTTTTACACCAACATGGAGATCATTTAGACATCATTCTCTATGACTGCCTAAGACTTTCGCGCGATACTACATATACTCTTGATCCATCAAATCCACCACATTATATAAAACACTCAACCAGACTGATTAACATAGATGGCACTTCTACCAATTAAAAAGAGCTTGTGTGATCCTCCTGGTGACCACCTGGGCAGCCTGCATGTATGAGATACTGTATATGTTTACAGATTAGTGACCTTGTTCCCTGGTGCTAAGCAGATTCTCAGGCTACTTTCCCAGAGACACGGACTCCTCTTAGTCAAAATTTTAGACAAACTCAAGGTTGCATATAAACTAGAAAAACAGCACAACAGAGCAATGACCCTTCACACACACAGCTGTGATCTGGACCCGAGAAGCATTCGCTAAACTACAGCCTAATTTTAATGATGGTTAATCACAAAATATGGTAGCCGATAATTAATGATTTGATTTGTCTTTAGATTATGTTTTATATAGCAAACACTTTTTGCCCCAAGTGATATAGGATTGCGAAGGCAGCATCAGACAACCCCTAGAGTGAATAGGGATCAAGGGCCTTACTCACGGAGCTGCAGATGAATTCACTTTGCTAACCCTGGGATTTGAACCAACAACCTTCTGATCACAATCCCAGCATACCAACATGCCAAGCCACACACAACCCCCACAAAGCTAACTTTTCTGTAAAAGATCTTAGCCATGAGATGGCTGAACGCAGTCTCTGCTGTTAGCATTCTCATCTGAACAGTTTAGCTGAGCCTCTGCAAAACTTCAACTGGTTGGAATTTTTATCACTCAATAAAGGAAGTCCACCATGCGGCAGTCGGATACAGCTGCATCCGGAAGGCAGCTCCGGCCAAACATCCGAGATCCAGGCAGTCCCAAATAAACACAGGAATTAGTCAGTGTTTTAGGTAGATGCTGAATACCCCTTGACCCTTCAATGCCTCTGTAAAAAATAATGGCAGGGTGAAGGAATGTATGTGATATGATGAATAGGTGACAAGGACAGCTGCATAGCTGAAAGCTGCAGTCACAACAGCGTCACAATGGCCAACAGATGTTTTTGATCATGCAGTAAAGACTGTCTGATCTCAGGCGCAGAAACACTATTAAACCGACCCACCAAAGCAAAACAAGCCCTAACAGGATTTTAGCAAAGTTTCATCAGGCTGCTGCTTGCCTGCCCATCCTTTTTATTATGGGTCTGTTACAGCATTTGTTCACCATTACCATGCCACATGATGATGCAAACGTAAAATTTTACGCTAACTTAAGCGTACTGGTTGTACTAAATAACTAATAAAAGCAAAATCTGGTCCTACAGAAAGATAGCAAAATCTGACCCTACAGACAGGTAAGCCACTATATGATTGTTCTGGAGATATTACACTTTAGTTGGTGTCTCAGACCATGAAATGGGTATCCTGAACCAGCTGACTTCAAGTGATCTCCTGTACTGATACTGCCAAGCCAGTGGGCGTCAGGTGCTGTGCAATGATAAGGAGTTCCAAGGAGCTGCTGTTGTGTTTCCCTTTGTGCAGAGCCCTTTGGTGGGAACATGACGGCCGACCAAGCGTGTCCCTGCAACTGTTCTCTGTGGCAGAGATGGGATCACCTACACCAAGGTATGTGCACTCTGTGCAGGATAGCTATGGACAAAATGACATGAAACATGACTCTACTAGATGGTGCTCTTGGTTTGTTCTGGGGCATGCTTTGTGCCATTTTTTGAACAGAGAGCTCCATCTAGTGGAGTCAAAAAATACAGCAAATGGTTCATGAAGCATAATTTTGTCCATCACTAATGCTTTCCTCATCAACCCCTTTACTTAATGTCTTAATGTCACGTTTGGGAGGAGGTATATGTGGCTGAGTGTGTTAGGACTCTGTGCTTGTTATTGGAAGTTTGTCAGTTTGAATACTGGGGCAGGCAGACTTATGCCGCCATTGAGCTATTAAGTATGACCCTTAATCCCTGACTGCTAAAAGGATGCAGAATAAATTGCTGAAAGCTTCACTCTCATCTCCTGATATATTTATAATGTGTTCCCGTTAGACATCTGAAATCATAATTTATGAAAATTAATGTGCAAAAAATGAAATAAAAATGGGGACAAACTGAAATGATGTGTGTTTGGTCATCTTTATTCTTTCTCCACATTTTGAAAGATTTTTTTGTTTGTTTTTCTTTTTACATATGTATACAGGCACAGTGAGTATTAGTACAATCAGGAAAACACACATAGACATAAAAGTCAAAGCCAAAGTATCTTTCATTGTCAACGTCAGAGGGTCAGAGACTAAGGTGAAATATAGCTCTCATTGTTGATTGTGTTGGGGGGGGGGCATAGTAGGACAGTGGTTAGCACTGTTGCCTCACACCTGGGATTGAGTCATTGCCCATAGGTGTAAATGAAGTGTGAGTGTGCCCTGCACGGGGATGGTGCTCTCTTCTGGGCTATTCCCTGCCTTGTGCCTATAGGATCCAGACCCTCAACAACCCTGAATAGAGCAAGCAGTTCCTGGAAATGGATGGGTGGTTTAATAGCAAATGAAAAGTAATTACTAGAACATATAAATAATTAGAAAATAAATACTGATACACAGCATTTTAAGACATGGACACTAAGACAATACAAATGCACTTAACCACCTGATTGGTGTGGAAATTTGGCATTGAATTTCATTAGCAGAATGTGCAGTAAATTGATTTAGTGTCCAATTCATGAGTGCAGAGGTATTAGTCATTTTGACAGACCAGTCGTAGGCTGGGAGGAGCCAGAAAGTTAGTCTGTGGAAAACAAAAAAACCTGGTTTTAAGCTTCACTGTCCCGGCTGCAGAATCTCCTAGCAGTGGAACAAAGACGATTTGAAAAGGCTGCATGTGATGATCATGGTGGTGTCATCTGCTTACTTTAGACACGATTAGAGATGACCTTGGTGGGAAGTCTGATGTCTGGGGTGTGAATAGCAGGGGTAGCAGCTTGGGGGGGGGGTTCCTGTGCTCCGTCTGATTTTAGCAGAGGTGAGGTCCCCTACCCTGACAGACTGAGGCCTCTCTGTTAGAATGTCCAGAATACTGTAACACTGAATAGTTACCCTGTAGTGATTAGTATTCTTATTACAGTACTTTACTTTTCATCATTATTATCCTTAATCATTGTTACTATTGCCAGTTTTGCCAGTATTATTATTATTTTTTCTTCTACCTATTATTCTTTTGTTTTGATCTTTTAAATGTATAATTTACTGGATGCCTAAATTTCTTTCCTTTCTTTCCTTCCTTCCTACCTAACTTCTATTCTATCTATTTGAAGGGTCAAGGTTTTGGCGCCCTCTGTAGACTGGTTGGAGCAGTGCGCAAACTGGTATGCATCAAGGGAGACACGGAGGTTTGTTTTACTCTGTCCCATGACCGGCCTTAACTTCGCTAAGACCTTTTGGTTCGATAGTAATTAAGAAGCTGGCGAAGCTGCTCCTCATCTACTCATCGCTGCTAAAACTCCAGTAAGTCATTAATCTGGATTTACAGAAACCCAAGCACGCAGTGGGATTAACTGCAGTTAAAGAAAGCCTAAAAGGGGCGTGTTTGCACTCTCGGTTGCGAAAGAGCT